TGGTGTCTAGTTTACCGACTGTCGGTATTTATGTGTTTTTACAAAAAAACGTATAACTCCTAAACGGTTTTAGATACAGCTTTTATTTTTTGCAAACATGTTAATCTTATTAAGACCTATTATCGTTAGAAATTATACTAACAAATTATTAACCGTTTTAAAATGGCGGCCATTTAAGCTTCACGAAAACTGTTAACTTAACAAATGAATTGCAGACAAATTGAGACAAAAAAGTTTGTAAATTTTATGTAGTTTTCAATGATACCTTATTTGTTAAGATTGGATAAATAATAACAGAGAAACGTGTTGTTTTCGTAATGTATGACCACTTTTCTCCATTTAAACAATGCTAATACTCCTTTTACGTTGTTTAGCATATGTATATAAAAATATATATTATATGCTGTATATGCCTGTATAATTTTATATTGGTGATTTAATAAATTTCCTGTTTGCTCTAAAGAATTTATTACAATGCTAACATAAGATTTAAAAACTTAATGTTTATAATTAGTTTTAGTTCATGCATACTTACTCGTAGGCCCTACTGTAGGTAACCTTTCATTATTTGTTATTGTACATGTGTCAGGAAAAGTTCAATAAAATTAAGTGTTAAACTTTATAATGTGCACATTGAGAGTGTCGTGACACAGCCCTTTGTAGTCTAAATAAAGTTCTTGTGGCACGAAGTGTGGTTCTGGAAAAGGTTATTTGAGTAACTCAATTACAAAGTCAATTTACTTTCTTTCTCGGACTTGCATTTTCGGTGCTTCTATTGAATAACAACCTCACCAAGCACATCTGTCCTAGGCAACGAGACTAATGAGGTACTATTGTTACAATAAAATGTATTTATTTTAGAACACCTGATCAAGAATTGAGTCTGAATTGTGAAACTAAGTATATTTTAAAACGTGAATAAATGTACTAAATTATTACTATTATTTTAAAGCCTTAGCATACATCATCACACCATCAAACCATAAGATGGTGAAAAAAACTAATTTTGATGTGTTTTGAGCCAGATATGAACCACGAGTCTAGGGCCCTTTCATTTGGCGTTTCTGCTAAGACCAGCTGGATTTGTAGCCAGGTTCGTTTTTAAAAGCTAGATTATCAAAACACAAAGTAGTACAACAATATAAAATACAATACTTCATATGATTTCAACAGTATTGAAAATAGATCCCAATATGTATAATTTTAATTCACTTTTCAGTGATATGAAGAAGTCTTTGCATTACAACTTTACAATCCATATGGTTAGAAATCATATTATTATACATAATCAAAGAAGGTTTAAGAAATACTAATTAAAGGAATTACAATATTGTACCTTCAAGGAAATCTTATCAACATTTAGAAACTTTTGAAAGAGAATTGGCTCATTTAATTAGCAGCTTTTTAGAATGTCAAACTTGTAAATAGCTATTGTGTGGAGTAAAGAGGAGCTTTGAGAAAGCGTCGGTAAGTAACACAATTACGACGCCAATTGGCCACCGCTTACTTGCATTATTGATGACTGCCTTTGCGACTCCTGTTCTACACAATATCTCCGTGCCACTATAATGCCTTGCACAGGCCTTCGAGGTAATTGATAAGAATACACACAAGTCATATCTCAATGACTATCTCATGAAATAGTCCAAGTTTGACGTTTGTATGGACATGTAAGGAATTCAAAGAATACCCCCGCCGCAGCAATCCTGCCGACTAAGCGAATTTCCATTTGTCTGAATTGATTTTCAGTTAAATATATTTTAATAACATTAGGTTTAACGAGTACCTAGGTTTTCTGCTACAAGGAAACTAATAAAGTGTGTTTTGAGTAAAATATTGATAGCTTAGTACAAAATAAATAAATTTGCCAAGTTTGATCAAAATATATCCATGAACAAGCAAACTAAAACATTTGACAATATTATCCATAAGAATAACATGGGAATTTTAAATTTACAATTTTTTTAATTTTCTCCGTTACTAATAATCGAACAAAAATACTTTTATATACTAAATTATTTGTTTTTTTAAGCTCTTTAAAAAGGTCTAAAGATAAATCAGGAAATTTTGTGTTTTGAGGGTCAAAAGTGAGAAAAACCAATTTTTACCCCATAAAACCCCCCGTAAAGCCCCGTTCCCATGGTCCGATCGTGCTGGTTCGCAAACTCATTCAAGTTTAACCCGCTTTACACCTTTAAACCAAATTTCATCAAAATCGGAAAAAAATTACTCAAGTTATCGCGTTCACGGACGTATATATATATATATATATATATATATATATATATATATATATATATATATATATATATATATATATATTAATAAGCGAAATAATAAAAACTAGAGTACCCTGAAATTCATTTTTATTTAAACTGATACGTATTTCGGCACTAAGACCATGATCACAGTATGAGCTATATAAAAGTATGTAAACAAATAAAATAAATAAATAGTTAATAACATATGTTTTGAATTCATATTAAATTTTTGATTAAATGGTTAGGTGTATTTTTTAACATGTAAATGTGTTTATTTATTTTATTTGTTTACATACTTTTATATAGCTCATACTGTGATCATGGCCTTAGTGCCGAAATACGTATCTTGCACGAAAGGTGCTAAGGTGAATAACTGATGTAATGTAGTTCATAAAGATAATCCATAACACCTTTTAGAGAGCTAACTCCACTCAGTGTTATATTTAAGGCTTACTGTGGCACATTGGAATGAATAGCGATCGATCCGAGAGTTCGTCAATAATGCAGCGTCGAGCCGCTAGCCCGTGTCTGTTGGTAATTGTGTTATACTGTTAGGCCCCATTAATGGGCCAGCCTGCACCTGATCTGTCCTACCGATACTTCAAACCTGTTACCTGTTACTAACTCAAACATGATTATTGGTTTATTGTAAAAAAGTCAATAACATTCCTTTAAAAATCATTGTGTGTTTATTTATTCTTTTAGGAGCTAAATGTTCATATCTCACATATTTGGTATAGAATTAAATTGAACCGAATCAAATACACTTATAAAGCATTTAACATTCTATAAACTTCTAAGATAGCACTTTGAGTATTATCAGATTTACACATTCTTCGATGTAGCAGTCCACTTGGAATGCAATTTAAAGATACGTTTGTAGCGTATAAACGATTCTCTGAACACTCACTTCAACTCTGAACAGCTGTTTCAACCATGAATTGATGGATCTTTTATTAAAACTGTTTAGATTAGAGATCAAACTAATATTATAAATGTTAAAGTGCGTGTGTGTGTTTGTTTGAAGTTCAATCACGCATTAACTACTGATCGGATTGAGCTGAAATTTGGTATGATGATAGCTTACGTTTCCGCTATAGCAGGCTATGGTAGATGTATTATACTATAGCATACCGTAAATTAAAAGAGCCAAATTTGCTCAAACCGTGTGCTCTCCCATTGCGATCGCAAAGCACAAGTATAACTGCAATACGCATTTTATACTTAAACGTCAACCCTGTACGAAGGACGGGTACTCTGCTATTTAGATAATATTTATCAGGTTTAATTCGTTCCGAGCCAATGATAAAAAATAAGAAACCGTTGTCTACGGTGCGCGTGTGAGTATAAGGTAAGCAGAAGAATTTCTCGATGGGAGAGCGACAGCAGGCTATAAAGCCGGCCACCCCCCGTCAAAAGCCTTGTAAAAGGGTCAGCACCCGAATGTCCTGTATTATGTATACCTCCCCAGAGAGTATTTCTTATCCCCGGGAGTTGAATGGTTCACTGAAAATACAAAATACCTCCACCTGAATTTTCATAATTTATATAATACTTTGTAAAATATAATATTTTATATAATACTTATAATTTAGGTGACTATTGCTTTGATTTTATTTTACTATCAACATAAACGTCTGTCTCTTCACAAAACTGTCATTAATAATGTATGAATCGCATGTAAACCTTTAAAAAAACCATTAGTTTGATGCTACTCAGTACAATTTTATATTCCTTTCTTTACTTGCAAGCCGAATTAGATTATAATTGATGAACACTAATCGTCATACCACAGTAATAAATTCAAGAAAATTTGAAAACATGTGTTGATCATGTGTTCTTGGATCCCATACCAGGAATCTTTGTCTCCGTAGAGAAAAATACTTTGTAGAGTATCCAGCCTTTTATTTGCTTATTTGGCATTTGTCTACTTTCATATTCTATCTTTTAGTAAATTATAAGATTAGGATTTGGTTAGGAACAAACAAAGTTGCATTACATAGTGAAAAATCTGGTAATACAGTTTTTCTCTATTAAAAAGTGTTGCATAGTTATCAGTATAAAATATAGATATCACCGTGATCTTAAATGAAAGATACCGGGAGGGAGTCAATGTTAAGGGCTATTTTTCAAATTATGAAATAGTTCTAGTTATCTCTATCATACGAGTCAGCATCGATATTTTTGTCTTGTTGTGTAAGTAGCTTGCATTAGAAAAACTAAAAATAGCACGAACAGTTTTGGCCAACAAGTGTAGATTTACATTTTTCCAGTAATCTAGTAACATTTTAAAACTAAGTACTGAGCTTACCCAGCAGAAAGGGTTTTCCTCGGGGAAAGAACAGAAAATCTATTTTCCACTTTTAATCCTCATCATTGTATATATGTACTAAGCTTACAGTTTACAGGTTAGTGATAAGACCCAGTGTGACATTTGGCTGGGAAACATACGTTGACTGAGCAAAGTAATGGGTTTCTCTCATATTTGGGTAAAAAATCTGGTGCCACATTATATGGGACCAGAGATCAGAAATGGAGTCTGGAATTGAATATTTGATTGCGAGTGTAGAAGGAGATGACTGCACAAAAGTATTGCGGTATAGTTTTTGCTATTGCTCGGTGAATCTCGATTTTCATGCGTAGCTCAATAAACATTTTTGATACCATTCACATGTCCACCATTTTAACTATGTCATGTAACCATTTTAATCCTAAAACAGAACACAAACGAATTCTTACCTTAGCTTTAGAATTTAAGATTACTTGTCCAAGGTCGTTCTGGACACCAAATGGATAGCGGACTTCGACCGGTGGCGTCTGAGCAATAGAGGAACGGCTAGCCGCATGTGTCGACTGCCTCATGCCTCCAGCATCTCAGCTGTGTGCCGCCGCCTCCTGCAATGATGTACACTCAATATAAACTATATACTGTACATGAAGCACCACTTCTATCTGAGCAATAGAGGAACGGCTAGCCGCATGTGTCGACTGCCTCATGCCTCCAGCATCTCAGCTGTGTGCCGCCGCCTCCTGCAATGATGTACACTCAATATAAACTATATACTGTACATGAAGCACCACTTCTATCTGAGCAATAGAGGAACGGCTAGCCGCATGTGTTTACTGCATCATGCCTCCAGCATCTCAGCTGTGTGCCGCCGCCAACAGCAATAATGTACACTCAATATAAACTATACTGTACATGAAGCACCACTTCTATCTGAGCAATAGAGGAACGGCTAGCCGCAAGTGTCGACTGCATCATGCCTCCAGCATCTCAGCTGTGTGCCGCCGTCAACTGCAATAATGTACACTCAATATAAACTATACTGTACATGAAGCACCACTTCTATCTGAGCAATAGAGGAACGGCTAGCCGCATGTGTTTACTGCATCATGCCTCCAGCATCTCAGCTGTGTGCCGCCGCCACCTGCAATAATGTACACTCAATATAAACTATACTGTACATGAAGCACCACTTCTATCTGAGCAATAGAGGAACGGCTAGCCGCATGTGTCGACTGCCTCATGCCTCCAGCATCTCAGCTGTGTGCCGCCGCCTCCTGCAATGATGTACACTCAATATAAACTATATACTGTACATGAAGCACCACTTCTATCTGAGCAATAGAGGAACGGCTAGCCGCATGTGTTTACTGCATCATGCCTCCAGCATCTCAGCTGTGTGCCGCCGCCAACAGCAATAATGTACACTCAATATAAACTATACTGTACATGAAGCACCACTTCTATCTGAGCAATAGAGGAACGGCTAGCCGCAAGTGTCGACTGCATCATGCCTCCAGCATCTCAGCTGTGTGCCGCCGTCAACTGCAATAATGTACACTCAATATAAACTATACTGTATATGAAGCACCACTTCTATCTGAGCAATAGAGGAACGGCTAGCCGCAAGTGTCGACTGCATCATGCCTCCAGCATCTCAGCTGTGTGCCGCCGTCAACTGCAATAATGTACACTCAATATAAACTATACTGTACATGAAGCACCACTTCTATCTGAGCAATAGAAGAACGGCTAGCCGCAAGTGTCGACTGCCTTATGCCTCCAGCATCTCAGCTGTGTGCCGCCGCCACCTGCAATGATGTACACTCAATATAAACTATATGCTGTACATGAAGCACCACTTCTATCTGAGCAATAGAGGAACGGCTAGCCGCAAGTGTCGACTGCCTCATGCCTCCAGCATCTCAGCTGTGTGCTGCCGCCACCTGCAATGATGTACACTCAATATAAACTATATGCTGTACATGAAGCACCACTTCTATCTGAGCAATAGAGGAACGGCTAGCCGCATGTGTCGACTGCCTCATGCCTCCAGCATCTCAGCTGTGTGCCGCCGCCAACTGCAATAATGTACACTCAATATAAACTATACTGTACATGAAGCACCACTTCTATCTGAGCAATAGAGGAACGGCTAGCCGCATGTGTCGACTGCCTCATGCCTCCAGCATCTCAGCTGTGTGCCGCCGCCACCTGCAATAATGTACACTCAATATAAACTATATACTGTACATGAAGCACCACTTCTATCTGAGCAATAGAGGAACGGCTAGCCGCATGTGTCGACTGCCTCATGCCTCCAGCATCTCAGCTGTGTGCCGCCGCCACCTGCAATAATCTACACTCAATATAAACTATATACTGTACATGAAGCACCACTTCTATCTGAGCAATAGAGGAACGGCTAGCCGCATGTGTCGACTGCCTCATGCCTCCAGCATCTCAGCTGTGTGCCGCCGTCAACTGCAATAATGTACACTCAATATAAACTATACTGTACATGAAGCACCACTTCTATCTGAGCAATAGAGGAACGGCTAGCCGCATGTGTCGACTGCCTCATGCCTCCAGCATCTCAGCTGTGTGCCGCCGCCACCTGCAATAATCTACACTCAATATAAACTATATACTGTACATGAAGCACCACTTCTATCTGAGCAATAGAGGAACGGCTAGCCGCATGTGTCGACTGCCTCATGCCTCCAGCATCTCAGCTGTGTGCCGCCGCCACCTGCAATAATCTACACTCAATATAAACTATATACTGTACATGAAGCACCACTTCTATCTGAGCAATAGAGGAACGGCTAGCCACATGTGTCGACTGCCTCATGCCTCCAGCATCTCAGCTGTGTGCCGCCGCCACCTGCAATAATGTACACTTAATATAAACTATATACTGTATACTGTATATGAAGCACCACTTCTATCTGAGCAATGGAGGAACGGCTAGCCACATGTGTCGACTACCTCATGCCTCCAGCATCTCAGCTGTGTGCCGCCGCCACCTGCAATAATCTACACTCAATATAAACTATATACTGTACATGAAGCACCACTTCTATCTGAGCAATAGAGGAACGGCTAGCCACATGTGTCGACTACCTCATGCCTCCAGCATCTCAGCTGTGTGCCGCCGCCACCTGCAATAATGTACACTTAATATAAACTATATACTGTATACTGTATATGAAGCACCACTTCTATCTGAGCAATGGAGGAACGGCTAGCCACATGTGTCGACTGCCTCATGCCTCCAGCATCTCAGCTGTGTGCCGCCGCCACCTGCAATAATGTACACTTAATATAAACTATATACTGTATACTGTATATGAAGCACCACTTCTATCTGAGCAATAGAGGAACGGCTAGCCGCATGTGTCGACTGCCTCATGCCTCCAGCATCTCAGCTGTGTGCCGCCGCCACCTGCAATAATCTACACTCAATATAAACTATATACTGTACATGAAGCACCACTTCTATCTGAGCAATAGAGGAACGGCTAGCCGCATGTGTCGACTGCCTCATGCCTCCAGCATCTCAGCTGTGTGCCGCCGCCACCTGCAATAATGTACACTTAATATAAACTATATACTGTATACTGTATATGAAGCACCACTTCTATCTGAGCAATGGAGGAACGGCTAGCCACATGTGTCGACTACCTCATGCCTCCAGCATCTCAGCTGTGTGCCGCCGCCACCTGCAATGATGTACACTCAATATAAACTATATGCTGTATACTGTATATGAAGCACCACTTCTATCTGAGCAATGGAGGAACGGCTAGCCACATGTGTCGACTACCTCATGCCTCCAGCATCTCAGCTGTGTGCCGCCGCCACCTGCAATAATGTACACTTAATATAAACTATATACTGTATACTGTATATGAAGCACCACTTCTATCTGAGCAATGGAGGAACGGCTAGCCACATGTGTCGACTGCCTCATGCCTCCAGCATCTCAGCTGTGTGCCGCCGCCACCTGCAATAATGTACACTTAATATAAACTATACTGTATACTGTATATGAAGCACCACTTCTATCTGAGCAATAGAGGAACGGCTAGCCACATGTGTCGACTACCTCATGCCTCCAGCATCTCAGCTGTGTGCCGCCGCCACCTGCAATAATGTACACTTAATATAAACTATACTGTATACTGTATATGAAGCACCACTTCTATCTGAGCAATAGAGGAACGGCTAGCCACATGTGTCGACTACCTCATGCCTCCAGCATCTCAGCTGTGTGCCGCCGCCACCTGCAATAATGTACACTCAATATAAACTATACTGTATACTGAACAGGAAGCACCACTTCTATCTGAGCAATAGAGGAACGGCTAGCCACATGTGTCGACTACCTCATGCCTCCAGCATCTCAGCTGTGTGCCGCCGCCACCTGCAATAATGTACACTTAATATAAACTATATACTGTATACTGTATATGAAGCACCACTTCTATCTGAGCAATAGAGGAACGGCTAGCCACATGTGTCGACTGCCTCATGCCTCCAGCATCTCAGCTGTGTGCCGCCGCCACCTGCAATAATGTACACTCAATATAAACTATACTGTATACTGAACAGGAAGCACCACTTCTATCTGAGCAATAGAGGAACGGCTAGCCACATGTGTCGACTGCCTCATGCCTCCAGCATCTCAGCTGTGTGCCGCCGCCACCTGCAATAATGTACACTTAATATAAACTATACTGTATACTGTATATGAAGCACCACTTCTATCTGAGCAATAGAGGAACGGCTAGCCACATGTGTCGACTACCTCATGCCTCCAGCATCTCAGCTGTGTGCCGCCGCCACCTGCAATAATGTACACTTAATATAAACTATACTGTATACTGTATATGAAGCACCACTTCTATCTGAGCAATAGAGGAACGGCTAGCCACATGTGTCGACTACCTCATGCCTCCAGCATCTCAGCTGTGTGCCGCCGCCACCTGCAATAATCTACACTCAATATAAACTATATACTGTACATGAAGCACCACTTCTATCTGAGCAATAGAGGAACGGCTAGCCGCATGTGTCGACTGCCTCATGCCTCCAGCATCTCAGCTGTGTGCCGCCGCCACCTGCAATAATGTACACTCAATATAAACTATATACTGTATACTGTACATGAAGCACCACTTCTATCTGAGATAAGAGTATTATGGCACCCATTCTTTCCAAATATTCCGTCTTGTGTGTTCTTCTACCGCCATGCTCCCAAAGTATGAGAATTTTTCTATCGTTACATAACTTAACGAGTAAAATTAGTATGGTGTGATGCAATTAGATACGTTAATGTTAAAGTAAAGATTTCAACAACCTGGGTCACGCAAAAGATAAAAGGATTAAATTAACTTCTGCTTTGATGTAAGTTCTCTTTACGAACGGCCATCTGCAGTAAAATACATTTAAACTACATACAGCCATAGATAAACGAGTAGACACTTCTCGATGGGTGATACAACGTATTTAATCCTGTCACTGTCAGGGCCACTAAATTAAATAGGGCATACATTTTCACGTATAATAT